CCGGTGGCCCGGGCTGAATTTAAAAGAGGGAACCTCTCGGCTCCGTTGGATTACCTTGTTCCCATCCACGAGGAATCAAACGTACGATGGAACGAATAGGAAAAATTTCGTTTAAATGTTTGTACAGTTCTGTTCCGCGGGTTGAATAAAATTTAATTAACAAATATTAATTGACACATTGATCCTTTCAGTGTCAGCTGCGTCCCAAAATACACTACCGGTCAAAAGTATGGGATCAGGTCTGATAATTAATTAAGGAAAGAGAAAAATATTATTCTACAACGGTTTGATAAAAGTAATATGGTAAAAGTGATTGGAAATGATTTGTACATGTATCGATTCCGTAACTTTTATTATATCATAACAGAATAATGAGTTAATCAAGCATGAACTCGGATTCCATACATTTGGCCGGTAGTGTGTATATGAACGGTAGTTGTGGAAGATAGTTGGAAACCAAATGAATAATATGTGTTTGATTTTATGAAATGAGTCCTATTTATATCGTGAGTTCTACGGATACATCCTGTGTTTCATCACACCCACTATCAATTACATAAAGTTCCTCGAGGATCCAGTACATACATACAGGTGGTGGTTTATGCCTTTAATGGCGTCGTGTTCCGTGCCACCTGAGGGCTGAGTGTACCTTAAGCGTCTCGCTAAATTCTAACCGCCAAATACACGAGAAATGCTTATACAGGTACGATCAAAGAGTCTTCGGAAGATTATTATTCCAAGTTTTTTAACGGACAATAAGTTAAACATCCTGCCAGTGAATACCTGGAAGACGTCTGACAAGATTGCGGCTTGGTCGATACTTGTTTCGAAGAGCCAAAAAAAATTTCAAAATTGGAAGTAGTCCCCGATAATTGGTTATCTTTACTAGTTTTAAAGCATTCGATGATAGAAATCTTGTTAGCTTTACCCCTTATGATATAGTGAAAACGTTTCCCTCGGAACGATTTCCAAAGCGTCGAGAAGTATTTCTGAGAAACTATGAAAACGCTAATAGGTCGAAAAGGATTCCGTGTCGATTAAGAACACTCTCGACAAGCCCTCGTTCGAACGCGTATAATCGTCCTCGTGGAAGCGACTCTATTGTACGGGGTTTTATTAACTCCCTCTTTAGACCCGCTCGTATATTCAACAACCGAATCTCGCGGGTCGTGTTACAGGCCGATTACAGCGCATGCAAATATTGCTCTCATATTCCAGGGGAAACGCGTGCGATGCCATAAATCGCGGCTAGATTTTCCCCGGCCACGGGAACACCGAAACTCCATTTAACGACCGTTGTATCGTATATTACCCCGTAATTGTAAGTCGGACGCGTGAAATGATCGCAGGACCGATCGGAACGAGCAACGATCTAGCACGAGCCCATTCGACGACCCACTGAAAATTCAACGAGGAAACTCGAAACCGACTTCGCGAGAGCGTAACGTCGTCGTCGTCGTCGTCGTCGTCGCTTCGATAATTGCGACAAATTTGCGGCGTATTCGCGACTTCGTCGCGACACGGTTCTCGCATGCAGAAAATTTCTTTATTGTCTCGAAGACCCGGGTAAGCGTCGTCAAGGAGCATCAAAGGGACAGGGTTTCTTATGAGAAACATTTTACCGCCCGGAGGAACTTTGTTATTAAAACGAAGATAAAGCCCTAAAGGTAGATGATTCTTTTGATCCACGAGGAAAAAACTTGGATCCGGGGAAGAACGTTACATCGAGGCGATCTTAATTAAATTCTAATTAAGCGTTCGTTAAGGGGTGACTCGAGTGAACGAAAATCAGGGAAAATTGTAATGTTGTTAATTCCTTCTTTTGAAGAAAAGTCCGGTTAACGAATTTTCTTAAAAGTCGTGGGTTAACCAAAGCTGAGGTTGCTCGTTACAGGGTCTCGCGAAGGCGCGTTTCGAATTAGAACGAATTCCCGTGATTTCTTTAAAACTCTGTCGTGTGCTTTTTCTTTTTTAACACCGAGAAGAGCATCGATCGACACAAAGAACTACTTTGCGCGAAGGAATTAGCGGACGAGTACCTATCGGGACACGGGAAAGACCGACGAGATGTTCCTATTCAGGGTGTTTCGCGAGCTCGCCAAGAATCGACCGTTTTCCACGGACGCTTGATAAATTTTCGACGACATCAGCGTAAAAACGTGTGGCGGCAATTGTCTGGAAACCGGGTCGGCCCCAGCCGGATCCACTGACCGGACTACGAAGAAACGATAATCCGGTGCAGTTCGAATTCACCGATTCGCGAATAAAACGAATCGCGTTTGGTGGCGCGTCGACGATCGAACAGTTCGACGCGGATGCTTTGCTATCCACCAGTAATCGAACAGCTTTTGCGTACGCTTGCCTAGAGAAAAATCTGTCAGTCATCGTCAACCTCCAGAAGAAACGAGTCTATTTCGTATTTAGAACGAACAAAGGTTTCAGACTTAATTTCAGAAGAAACAACATTTAGCAATTACCGCCTTTCTGGAGAAAAATTGTACAATGGTTAGTATACCACGAAAGCTACAGGAGCTTGAAAACTCGAAAAACGAGACATAGCGTGACTCGTTAAAATACTGTCGGTGTAAGTTTTCTTACAAAACAATGCGAGATTACGGTAACGTCCTCAAAACTCCGTGCGAGAAAAGAGCCGTGCAATATTTCTCTACGCATTACCGCCTCCATTACCGTCACCACCGCCTCCACGTTGTCCGGATACTCGTCCCTCCATCATTTCTCTTTTATCTACAGGAAAGTTCCGATGAAAGAGGAGGACGCTAGTTTCATCCGGCGGAACACCTTGCCGCATTTTCTTTCCCCATCTACTCGGATGGAATAAAATTTCAACGATGCGCAGACCGAGTTCACAGATTTTCGCGAGCAAACATTCCCCGGTGTCACCTTCCTTCTGCATCGTCACGTTTCGCAAACGACGGAACAGAGTCTTTTAGATGAACATGATTTTCTGCTTAAGTGGACTGTGTTTATTAATGGCTTCCCTCTGTGAACAGCATCTGCAAACAAAAAATCCCACATTGTCGTCCACTTACAGTCGAGTCTTCCTTTGAATCTTTGAGTATTTCGGCATTTACACAGCTTACCCACGAAACAAGGAAACTCGACGATACATGTCTGATATATGTCTGCTGTGTGGATCTTTATGGCCTGGGCAGGAATGACACGGTCGTTCGGTCATGTCGTCCTCCTTTCTTCTCGTTTACAACGTGAAGTACGTTTTTAATCGCCGGCGATGCTCATTGTTGAATTCTGGCGTGTTTTATGAGCCCCTTTGTTCTCTTCTTCGTCGCTCCAGTTTTCGACTGGCGGACGTTAAAAGAAAATCGGTGATTATTTTTGGACGGGGTAAACCCTGCGTGCTGCTGGAACGTGTGTGGTATATCATTCGTGCGGATCGCGACGATGGAATGAATCCAAAGAAATTGATCGAAACCCAGGGAACGCGATTTTTTCGACTATTGAATAGCAACGAAAACATCCAGTGAAATGCTAATTGGATGTTTCTCTATTCTGCATTGCTCTGGAATTATATTAGATGCCCATTCGATGTAACGGAATTTTATCTAGTGGAAACCGTGTAGCGGCGCCTTTGGGAATTTCGACTCGAACCAACTTCGATCTTACAAATTCGCCGGAGATACGAGCAAACATACATCCTCTACGGGGCGATGTACAGAGGGAATGTTCTTGGTCCGGGTTGCTTCTGCATCCTCGACGTTGAAAAGTTATTCGTTGCAACGCGCGTCGACCACTCGAATTAGAAACGTACAGTGATCGATTCACAATGTTTTTTGTTTCCATCCGTTTCGCATGAAAACAAAGAAATCGATTCTGAAAAAGCGGCGTAGTGTGAAAGGTGATTGATTACTCGTACCAGTACGCATCCATTGCTTCTCTTATTTCCGAGGGCATTGTGAGCGTAATAACCGAGCTATTTTTCAGGGTGATCGTTACCCGTACAGCCCATTTGTGATTCTTTCAGCCCGACGGAATGAGTTTGCATTTTATGTACCGGTTGGCTGGATAACTTATCGACTCACGTACGGAATACGTAATCGTTTCGGGCTGTTTTTACAAAACTACGTCCGACACGAGATCCTTCGCAATAATATTTCACGGATTTGCTAAAATCTTTCCAGAACCGAAGGAGGAATCATATTTTTGGAAAATAGAAACATGAAAGTAGAACTTTGCTACACTGAAAGTAGTAGAATAACCAAAATGTATTTACAGAAGCTAGAACGAGGGAATAGGGAAGACATGGTATTAGTGGGAGAATTCAGGAAAGTTCGAGTCCATAAGTATTAGAGACCTAACGCTGAAACAGTTCGTTAATTAAATTGACACAATCACGTAGTAGATACCATACAAAAGACTCGCGGTTTTCGACTAAAAATATTCCTTCTAAATTCTTCGCCATTCAGCCATTACTCTCCGTTACATAGAAGAAAGGAGGTAAATGGTTCTTCAACAGGGTTACGGAGTGTTCGTCCTTATCGTTCCTTCTTCGACGCGAAGGTTAAGGGTTGGACAGGGAAAATTCAGCTTGGCAATGGCGGAACGTCGCAAAAACTCGCAGAACCGTGCCGAACAGAATGAAACGGAACGGAACGGAACGAACAGGTTCCTCGTTCGTTCTAATTGACGGGGCAGACTCGCGCAAAGTGCTGTTCAAAGGCTCACAGTCGATTCTCTATGCAAACAGAAAAAAACCGACGACAAGGGAGTCGATAGGGGGAGCGTATCTCGGCAAAAGGAAGTCGTCTTTGTGATGGAAACCCGCGTAGCTTGAACGTTTATCGTCGACAGAGTTTTCACCTTTGAAAGTTTCCGACGAAATATCGAAGTTATTAGAAGAAAATGAATTCTAATTTTGCATATTTCGCAAATCCGATTACTTTCAATTCAGCTACGAAATTAAGATCGTACAGTTTATTCGTATATATGTATCTCTTCACACACCTCATTTCTTTTTGTTGCAGGCTCGACCAGCCGGTGACCAGCTCTACGTCCGGAATGGACAGCAAAAAGGTTCGAATGATATTATTTTATTTCTATATATTTTTTCGTTAAACTTTATAAAACCGTGGGTATAACTTTTGGAGTTTATTCTACGCGGGAAAGTATGGACATCTGTTTTGTGCGATCGAGTTAAGGGCTTGACTGATTGAAGATCAAATTTTGTCATTTTCGAGAGAGAATTACCGACAGACATTGTACGTTGTTCTAGTCGTAATATTTTTAAAAGAATACCCATCGAGGTAAAAAAAGGTCGCGTTTGGCAGGATGACGCAGGCAACCCGAACGAGCTTTCCAAAATTGCATAGTTCCACGGAAGTTGTCGGAATCGATACACATCATAGAGGTTTACAGTAGTTCTAAAGGTAGTTCCAGTGGCCCGATATGGGACTCCTTCGGGGTTGACGATGTCGTTTGAAGTTAACGCGATTAAATCGACGCGATAAAGGAGAGCGAAGTTAATGCAGCGATCCCAGTGAATTAACCGAGAACTTTAAACGTTTTCAGTTCCATCGTTTGCTCTTTAATTACCTGTTTGCAACTGTCTCCAACACGATACCGCAACGAACGATTTAATCAGAGAAATTATGCGCCGTTGCCCAGAGATTGATCGACTTTCGGTTAAGGGAAATCTTTGTTGATTCCATTATTTCACTTGCTATCCCTTTTACAGTCCTTTTTCTAATAAGATAATAAGAAAGAAAGTATCTAAGAAAAAGTCCAGAACACAATAAGAAAGAAAATGCCTAAAGATATGCAATAGCTTCTAGGATATCCTAATATCATAATCGTAAACACGTCATCGGATTCGAGTAGGTATTATTGATACGAGTATGTATCGTCAAGAAGACGTTCTGGACAAGAATATACCACGCGACAGAATACAAACGACGTCTGGAGTTGCTTGGAACACGCAGCACACACACGGAGAGAGAGAGAGAGAGAGAGAGAGAGAGAGAGAGAGAGAGAGAGAGAGAGTGAGTAACTTGATGAAGGAATTCTCGAGACGGAGCCGAGAAACTTGGCGCGCCAATAACTAGCTAGCCACAGATGGGTGCAAAACATAACCGGGAACTTCTAGCCGACGCAGACGTGTCGGAAAGTTATGCAAGTCTCATTTCCTGCCGCAGAGAAACAAACAAAAACCGCGATCTTGCAAGTTTTCCCGCCTGTTTTTTTTTTTTAACGAACCGCCAAACGAAGTTTCCGCGTACCGCGTCGCAGAGTTTCGAACTGTTCCTTGTCTGGAATCGCACGACCCGCTGACTCCCTAATTCAACGAATTACTTAAGCGAATCTTTGTCTCCTCGGCCACGGAAGAGAAACTTCGTCCCGCCGGATTTTCCGGGCTACGAGTTGCAGCGAGTCCCGCGTGTTCCGCGGGAAACAACGCCCCTTGGAAAAGAACGAGCCTTGTTTACCTTCAGCGTGGAGATGGGTCGTGGAAAACCGCGGCGCCCGCGAGGGTTGTTCGCGGAGGAGGAGGAGGAGGACGTTCGCGGTTCTGAATCACCGGTGAAAAGTAAGACATCGTTATTTAGAACCTCTATTACCTGGTTCGCGAAGAATATCGTTAACTTCCGGGAACATTTTGCTTAATATCGAGGTTTGTTTAGAGTTGTGTAGTCTTTAATATACAGAAAACACAGCTTTGTTTCTGTATTGAAAAATGCAGGAGGGTTGCCGAATTGGTACCATCGCCTAGATAGGACCACTCAATAAATTGTCATGTGTGAACAATTCCCGCTGTATAATAGACACAGTGTGTGTATAATAGTGGTGATTATATTAACAAACTTAGTATACATGCATCGTATATTGTCTGTCATACAGTGCAAATTGTTTACCCGTGACAAACTACAGTAACGGTCCAACCTAGATGATGGTCCAAATGCAACAAACTTCCCCAACAACGAGTTCTGTATCACGATCCAAAAATGATCAAACTTTGCGAAAAAAACGTAGAACGTCGAGAAACTTCGTGGCTCGCGTTATCATTGGCTCTTCAGGGAAAGTCGATAGTGGGCATCGTTCGCGTAATTAAAAGTGGCTCGTGTCGGGGGCAAAATTATCGGTAATTAAATCAGTTTCCGGAAACTGGATCGGCTCGAATTTCAGAAGCGAAACAAGCCCCATCGAGCACATCCGCGGAAAGGGACGATCGCTGCTGCCTTAATTGTACAAAACGACGAAAAAATTTTGCCAGGGAGCCTTTCGTGAGTTCCATGGAGCGAGTCACTGGCCTTGCAAACTCGGTGAAAACTCTCCGCGAGAGACTTCTCTTTCGAGGAGGACCAAGTGTTCTCTCCTAGAGAAGTCGGCGAACGGGCCATAGGATGCGAACTCGCGAGAGGGGCCGATCGCGAGCGGTGGGGAGTAAACGCGACGAGTGCCCCCACGATCGGTCAGCTCGTTAGCTTGTCCAGCCTTTCCACGAGAGAAAAATCGAGAGAAAAACCGAAACTCGCTGATGTCGACCGGCCGCTCACTCGTTCGCTGACCTCTGTACTCCTCGTCCGACCAATCAGTCGGTTTAACTGGATTCTTGTTGAGCGGCGGTCCGGAATTATTTACTGCAATTTCCGAACGCGTCTTCGCCGTTTCATGCTCAATTATAAACGAGGGCAGGCTTGTTAACGTCTAACAACTAACGCAAATTTTGGAAAGATTCTAATACGTTGCACAGATTGAATTACTATTGCATGAAACGAAAATGTTTATAACTTACGCGTCGCTAAAATATTCGATCCCCTGTTTTTAGATCGGTCTCTACACAACTTCTTGCTCTTCTCCAGTTTCTTCGTGGCTAAGCTCCCGGTTAACGAAACGGTTCAGACGGGAATTTTGTGGGTAACGGATAAGTTGTCGATCGGATGCCTGGAATTTTTGCGGTAACCCGGCTAAGACCCGGCACAGGAAAGTGGATCTCGATTAACTGTCGAGAAGCCTGTCGCTTGGATAGCAACATGACACTGCACTCCGGGCTTATACCCTTTCATGACGAACCAACGGAAACGAACATAAGCTTCTAAAGTGTGTCGATGGAGCGGTTTTCTTCATCCCTCTGTATACATATAACTTGTAGATATTTTTGTAGTGGATGTCTGCTCTCTTCGTACACAAGGATCATTGTATTTTCTTGAATAAAATTCAACGAAAAAAATGAAAGCTGCGAGGAAAAATCCAAACTTTAAATTTCCGTTCGTTTACGAGGAAAATTCTGAGAAGTAATAAAGCAAACGTGTAATCTGCACCATTGGAACCATAATCGATCGATAACGAGCTTTCTCTGTTGAAAGATTCGAGAATGGAAAACTGGAAAATCCGCAGGAACGAAAGGAAGATTGAAAAAGGGAACGCGAACTTTAACGCTGTAGTTTCGTTTGCTTCGGAACGATGCTAAAAAGAGGGCGGCAATACCTGCAAGCGAGGGTAATGTTTCATCGAGGACGGCACTGCTCGAATTTATGAGCAATTTCATTTGATTAATAAATGGTATTCGTATTTTTTTGCCGGTGACTGTTTTGACGCAGTCGATACCACGGGTCACGATGGTCATTTCCAATTGTCAAAATTTCCGGAACGTGGCAATTATGTAAATTGAATAAAAATTTACGAAGCGACACAGACGATATAAATATTTTGCACGATGGCACCGTAAACTTGACGACGAATTTTCGTTTTATTCAATTTATGAAAAGTTTGAAGTGTATACAGGGTTGGGGGTGATTCCATGTGAAAAAATAAGTGGAAGATATAAAATAAAATGTTTCATTCGAGACTTCGTTTCCCAGAAAATTAACATTGGAAATCGGAAACGCGTGTATTCTTGGTGGCAGTAAGTAGAAACGGAATGCAATGACCAGACACGATAGCCGAGTCTTATTAAATTGAGCGTGTATCCAGGATTTTCGGAAGTTTCGACTGAAAATATTTTATTTTCGACCCTTTTCTTTCATGTAGAACTTTTCCCTACTCGGTTGTACTACCAATTACACGACACCCTGTATAATTCTTCTTCATAGAAAACGCGTTAGAAGTTATGCCTACGTTTTATGAAGTAATATTTACATATATGTATATTGCTTATATTATTCTTAGTTTTCTGTATTCGTAGCGTGATTGAAAACTTTGTTCTTTCCACTGAATCACCAGGTACGTTTCTACCCGTTAGCAGAGAATCACTGTCTCTCCAGCCATTCGCCGGATGCTAACATCAACATTTTCGATCGTTGGCGGAGTACACGTATAAGAGAAAGAAAACGATGATTGCAGGTTGTCCAGGCGGCGCCGCTTCCCGTACCTGTGCAGGTACGCAGCAAGAACGATGGCTCGGGGGTGGCGGCGTCGGTGTCAGGAGTTCGCAGACGAAGCGGCTCGCAGGGTTTGCGATCGCCGGCCGCGAAGAGGCCACTCTCCGCCCCCGTCGCGCTCCAGGGTTGGCTACACAAACAGGGCTCGGAGGGTCTCATGCTCTGGAAGAAACGGTGGTTCGTCCTCTCCGAGTACTGCCTCTTTTATTACAAAGGTCAGTCCTCCCTGTCTGTGTTTTCTTTTCCAGCTGGAATTGCGTGTCGTCTCTCTGTTTCCTCGAAAAAAATACCATACCACACTGCTCTCCGGTTTTTCCCGTTCCTTTTCCCGTGCGCTCTTGGCACGACAGTTGCCACGATTCCCGACGAAAAATTCGTGACTCGTAATTCTGCAGGGTTCATTCGGTATACACGTGCACCTTTTGTTTCTTTCTCTCCATTTTCTTCAGCGGGGCTGTCGCAGACGAAAAGCGGAGAAAAGAGAATTACTTTCGGTTAAATGCGCTGCCGAAACGCGTTTGTTACAACACGTGGCTCGATTAAATTTCCACGGAATTTTCAGTTCGTCGAATCTGTTCCCGTGACCCTATCGAAATTTTTATCCTCTCCACGGATACTGTTCTGTGATCACTACGACTGCGAAAACGTGTAACAAGCTTTTCCATGATTTTCATCTCGGTATTGCATTCGTTTTTCCGGCAAAATTGGTCATAGTTTGCAGCGAAACCACGGTCGGAAGTAGTATCCGGCAGTAATTGGTCGGACGTAGACACCCAGTTAACGATCCACCACCGCCACTCGGTTGTTCCCCTTTATTTGGATATTACCAAATTACTATGCAACAATACGCAAATTAACTCGCGATAGATCGTTCAATACTGTATAGAAATAGAATGTACAGTGTGTCCCACTAGAACCGGGCCACCGTCAATATTCCAACCTGCTGTCATTGTACTCGGTCTTTACAATTATTCAAGCTACGCACGCAGCTTTTCTTTGTTACTCGAAGACCTAGATTCGCGGATAGTGGAATTGGAGTGGATGGATTCCGGTAATTATCGAGTATTCGATTTGTGTAAGAGCCGAGAGGCTCTTGACAGTCACTTTGCAATGGAGAAGGTGACACGCTTGTGTTCCCAGTTAGAACCTCGCGGAGGTCCGTGTTCACCTGTAAATAATCGCCTAATTTCCGCGGCGATAATCCCCTTCTGTCGACGAATAAAACCCACCGAATCGTTTACGCGCACGCGAACACCGTTGTTAATTAACGCGATATCATAATACGACGGACACACAATGGGAACAATGCGTGTCTGGGTTATTATTCCGTCGGTGTAAATTAATTTACTGTCCCATTTTGGTCCATCTGAGCGTAAACTCGCTTAATACGAATTTTAATATTCGCGACAATGGCCGCGAATCGTTGGACCAAACTCGTTGCACTTCTCGCCGCATTATTAGGTCCGCAGTCGATTCTACCGTTTGCATATTAGCAAACTTCCAGCCACTGAGGCTCGTAATTTTCATTTTATCTGTCCCTAATTGTCGCTTGCCTTAAGCAAATATACCATTGGTTCTTGCGATTCCCGTTCTTGTACTGTTATAAAACGGGAATAATAATAGATATCGTTATCGTACAGGGAGTTCTGTTCGAAACAACTAAACTAATAACTGTCCTCCCTCCGTACAATCGCAACACTGTACAATTATCGGAAGGAAGTTTCTCCTTCGACTATCGATAATTTAAGTTATTGTACATTTTGAGAGATCTCTTTAATCCGTGAACCGGACGATGTATCCGTAACGCGCCACTAAAAACACCCTTGCGCTTCGTTGCACGTTCGTTCGACTTGTTCCATAATATTTCATAAACGCTTATCAATCTCTCAGGCGCTTGAGACAGGAACATTTTTAACCACGTTAAGATAACATTCTTCGCCGGGGAACGCTTCCGCGCGCGCGCGCGCGCGCGCGAGAGAGAGAGAGAGAGAGAGAGAGAGAGAGAGAGAGAGAGAGAGAGAGAGGAGAGAAAGAAAGAAAATTCTCGTCCAAGATATAAATTTCGTCATAATGGGAAATATTTCACGGTGGAAAAATGAAGAAAATCGAGGATCCCTCGGGAGCAGGTGTAGCCGCTGTACGTATGTACGAAATCAGGGAACTCGCGCAATTAGTGTTCCCGGGGAACGATCTGGCGGAAAAGAGTTAAGGATATTGGCGCGATGTGGGTAGTGAGGGGGGGGGGCGGCATGACGGCCAGAAATTGGTTGAGTGTAACGCTGGAAAACAACGAGAACAGCGAGATGAAGGTTGAAGCTGTGCCAAAGTCTTTCCGCGTGGCCACTGAACGGGAAAGAAAAATGGTTAATTCCATCGCCGATCCTCTTAACGGAATACGAATTCCACTGATGGTAATGGTAAACTATTAAAAAGTCCGGCGATATTTTATAAACCGCTTCGATCGTGTCCGAATTTTGTTTCGTCCTCCTTCGTTACGTGTTATTATCATTCGTAGAAGTGTCTAGACCAGTGATGGGCAACTCAGCGCCCGCCAAACTCACTAGCGGGCAACAACGTGCAGCATGCGGGCATATGGCAGTGGTGGGTGACATGTGTGAATTTCACAGACAAATATGTGGCAACACCTGAATCACCCTCTACATCGATACTCGATTCCCATCTATCGGCGGGTATCAGATATTTCATAAAGAAGGTTCAAAAACCGTCGACGTAAAAATCCAGCTTCGAACGTGATTAAAACAGGGCCGGTCCCGTCGTACTAGCCACGGTACTTTTGCTCCTCTCGTCCTACGTGTTCATTCTGACGTCCACGGTGAAATTTATGGCACTTTTTATCTCCTTCCTTTTCCTCTGTACGCGGTTCAACGTGATTTATGCCCTCACCGGCAGCGAACCGGCCCCGTTACGCGATATCTAACGCGTGTCAATGGCGTTAGAGCTGTCGGAAGCGTCGAATCGAACCTTCCCGATTTGTCAGACTTCTGTCGTGTACGTGAAATCATTTCCTCTCCGCGTTTGTCCACGTCACGAGCCATTACCGAATCGAATATTCGATTTCAGTGATCAATGAAGGGTCTTTGACTCCTTGAACTAGCCCGATGGAAGCCCCTCGTAAGATGCGAACGATGTCTCAATCTCTATTAGAAGCCCCTCGCGGTAAAGAAACCATACAAACACGTAGATACGCTATTCTAGTTGGAAAATGATCGATAAATTTGAAATTTCGAGTATTGTCGCACAGAATAAAAAAATAATCTGGTATTTAAAACAAAAATCTCGGACTGCAATACAGTGATTTTGTCGTTATGTCTTAGATGCGGCTAGAATAAAAGTTGATTCTCTTACTCTTGAAAGATTCGACGGTCGAAACGTTGGAACGAATCGATGAAGTTATTCGAGCAAACATGCGAACCGTCCCACGATGTATGCTTTGAAAAGGGGTTGGTGTTGTTCGCGTGGCTCGCGTGCACTCACGCTACCACCCTTTTTCACCCTCGAATCTACGGCGGTCCCTCAGCCCGTGGATTTTACAACGAGCGCCAGCAAGTCGAATGAATATTTCACATTAATGAACGAGAACGTCGACCCTCTTGCCTCGACTTTTTCGTGGCTTACGACGGAAAACTTTGTGTATGCATGTGTGTGAGTGTGTGAGTGTGTGTGTGTGTGTGGCGGGGGGGGGGGGGCGGGGCGTCTGGTCTCGTTAGAATGGATCCAAGCAGACAGAACGATCTTTCCGGAATCGTTTGATGCAAAACCGCTCGGGAAGTCATGAATCGCCGTGTATGCGTTGCTTTTGGAGAAAGAGCAAAAAAGAGGTAGACGGTTGATTGACGCGAACACGTAGATAATTGAATACAGAGTGTGCACCGTGCAATGTAGCATTACCTTGACGAATGAATGTAATACACTGGTATTATTGTAGAAAGAAGAGAAATCATACAAGTGTCTCTTTTGAGAAGGTTTCTTTATCGGGGAAGTACAATTGAAGCGTGATTAGAGAGGCGAATATTTCAGGAACGCAGAATGGCGTAATAGAGAAAGAAGAAATTTTATAATAGGTACGTTTAGTTAGATATAGGTAACATATACCTATAGGTTCCAGGATCGCGGCGAAAAGTCTATGACGTCGACGGGATCGGGTTTTATAGAAAATCCATCAATCGTCGCGTGTTCCTTTCCTTTTTCTACTTCTTCTTGATCGTCAGTCGTTCGGATCTGGAATCGACACGTTTTCCGGCGAGTGATGTCGTGCCCGTATAGCCATTTTCAGTCGGCAAAGAGGAAACTTTGTAAAAAATCTGCTTTCAGGTCCGGAGGAGGAGAAACTGCTCGGCTCGATACTGCTCCCGTCGTACAGGGTCACTGTGTGCAAGTCCGAGGACAAGGTTAACAGAAAGTTCGCGTTCAAAGCCGAACACGCGAACATGAGGACCTACCATTTCGCGGCTGACAGTCGCGAGAGCATGAATCAATGGGTGAACGCGTTGACTCTGGCGACACTTCTTCAGGATCCAAATCCGTGAGTGTCCTCGCGTTATTTCCTTACTGGCGACATTCTTACTTGGATTAGCAACAACGAAGAAGGTGTTGCCTCGTATAAAAGTTCGAACGACTTTCAGAACACCAGTGTAAATTCAATGGTGTGTTAGTAGGCTTAATAAAAACAAAGAATGGAATATAGAGAGCACATTGCACAGCTTCAATTTTCTCTTTGGTATCGTCGGTCAAACGATTGAAATTCGTCGCGCGACATTCAACCGTAGATGCAAAACCAGTTCAATGTTATAGAAGTTCAATTAGCTAAGAGCAGAAAGGGGACCAATCCCGAGGTAGAGAGCACCATTGTTAGCCCCAGGGTATTTTACGTCGGAATCATTTATTTCGCATCGCTGGGATTTCTTTATTCCGACTCACCATTTATTTCCTATTCCACGTCTCTCGTTTCTTTCACCGGGGTCTCCGCTCTTCGCTCCTCTTTATCAGCACTTCCAGTTTGCCCGTATCATCGTACAGCGAACGATCGTGCGCCGTCCATTTCACATCTCTTGCTTCTGCTTCTAATTGTACTGCCGCGATTTCTGTGTTTCTGCTGCACTGGAGACTTCAGACACTCTCTGGCCGTATAAAGAGGAACTTTTTGTCAGTCGGTATAGTTTGTTCTTTAAATAATTTTATACTTGGTGAATATTTTGATAATCTTATTGGCTAAGATAAGCTACAAGCATCGCCAGTGTGATCGGCGGAAATACTTTAACTTAACTATCGTCATCGACGGCAGGGTAACGTCGATGTCACGTAGGAAATCGTACCCACGGTCCTAGCAGCTATAAGAAAAAGAAATTACGGTAAAAGTGACCGTAACGATATTTACGGTAACAGAACGTTCGAATATTTTGTTTGATCCTGGTTTCGTTCGAAGCCACTACGTTCTCGAGAGTTTTATACATATTCTCGTATTAGTATATTCGAAAAGATTAATGCAATACCCGTTTAAAATACGACAACTGTCGACTTCGTCGTCAGAATTCTCTTTTTCCATTATACGTAGTTGGTTGCTCGTGGGTTTGATTCGAGCGTATTAAAAGGATCTGTACGCGATCACGGTTCACAGGGGTAAACTTCGAGTGCGAATGTGTGTCCACTCCACCAGAAGGCCCGTATCGGTCCCGTGAACGTGTTAACTCGGTTTCGCGACTACCAATCGACTAGTTAATACGAAAAACCGCTTGGTAAATGAAGATCGACAAATACAAGCGCGGTGAAAGTTTCGCGTCACGTCCAGCGCGGAGTCAGTCATTAGCCTTTGAGAACGAACGAACTCGAAACCATGGCAGTCTGCATTCGGATGGACTTCCGGCTAGGGCAGAGAATTCGTGAAACGCGGAACGGAGCTGGTGGATGAAACGGGCGTTTCGCAGTTTTTCCGCCGAAAAGAGTGCTGTAGAGAACGACGAGTCCCATCCCTCCACGTTCCGTTTATCCACGGCCAACTTCCAGAAAGCAAACTAACGAGTTTGGATAGTTGCACCGCGATTATGCGCGAACCAGGAACCTAGATCCTGCGGCTGGCTGCTGGCTGCGATACTTTCGCGCTGGATGCACACGGATCGCTACCGTGCTTGTCCAACAACGGGACTGCTCTGCCGCAGCAAACAAAGGCAATTTCGCATTCCGTTTGTTCGACTTGAATGCTTGTCGGCTAACTGAACGGGAAATTAACCGAATCGCGCGGTTTTATACTTTTCCGTGTTTCGAAGAACTTTTCACGTTATTTCTCGTTTTACTTCCCTTCGCGTCACGTAATACCTAAGTAAATTTCGTGTGCTTCAGCGGAGTCGGAGAGGCAGCGGTGGTGATCGAAATAGCGGGCCAACAGGACGGCGAACGGAGCGCGAGACCGAGCGTTTCCTCGATCTCCTCGATCCTGAATCAAAGCGCGGACGACAGCGATTCTGGGTTCCATGGTTTCCAATCACGGGACGAACCCAGCCACGCTTCCAACAACAACTCCAGCCCGAACAGCGTCAATACCGCCTCCTTCCCCAATCTCAGCGGCAGCAACAGCAATTCCAATACCAACAACGGTGACAACAATAATAACAATAGCAACAGCATCGGGAACGCGACAAACAACAACGTGAACGAAGTTCAGCCCCTGGTGAACGGATGGATTCAGCAACAATCGCAGTACGGGCAGCCCAGCACGTCCCAGCATCAGCAACAGCAGCAACAACAACAGTACGGTCAACTGATGCCGTCTTCCCAACAAATACAACATGCTTACCCTCACCAGGTCATACTTCTTCAACACATACCTCATCAGAACACGGTTCAGGCCCTTCAAGTTCATCAGCACAAACAGGTAATCCAGCAGCAACAGCAGCAGCAGCAACCGCAATCGCACGCGACCCCGAGTAACGTACAGACCGTGCAACCGATGCCCAGAAAGTTCGGTCAACCGATCTACGCGAACGCTCCCCCGAAACCCAGAAGACTGACCGATGGGTCGACCGAGTATTCCACGCCGTCTCCGGACCCAGACTATCGAAAGTCTCCCGTATCGCCGGACGTAACGACAACCAGCAAGAGTCCCATGTCGGATTACGACAGAGGCAGCGCGATCTACGGGACGAGGCTGAGTCAGCCTAGTCAGCAGAGTCTGCGAACGGACAAGTCGGGCCTGAATTACGGCTACAACCGGGTGCAAACGGAGAGACGCACGCCGGACACGTACGGACGCAGCGCGGCGAAACCGCGATCCAGTAGAGGGAACGGGGACTACGAAGAAGTTTATGGCGCGCCTCAGCTTTATCAAAGACCGGCTGGTCCCGTCGGCTACTCGAAAGGAGCTTCCCCAGCTCCCATACCTATACCTCTTTACGCTCAACAGCACCAACAGTATCAGCAGCATCAGCAGCATCAACAGCATCAGCAGCATCAGCAACATCAGCAGCATCAGCAACAGATGCATTCCCCGGCTGATGCGACGGTTAATAGTCAGTATCTTGATACGTGAGAACGATATCGCAGAAAGAATCTAGTACTGTATTTTTGTCCAAGTTCTATGGAAAGCGTGTTCTTTTCAATAGAATCTCCGACCGAAAGATGTTAATAGATTTAATCGATTTTATTGTAACGACAGTGCCCATACTAAGGCAACCCAGGGCTCAGCCACCCCCACGACCCCATAGCGCTGACTTCCTGGAGTACGAGGCGACCAGAAGGCCTCAACAGCAAATATCAGCCCAGTGCGACGAGTCGTTGAACCAGCAGAGGCGTCCGCAGAGGCCTAAGTCGAGCTTAGACATAGTCACGCCATCGGATACCGTCAACGATGGATACTTCTATTCGGAGGAAAGGTAATTCAGTTTCGTACGTTCCTTATTCATTCACCGTATACTATCTTCCAGTTTTCCGAAAAAAACCAATCGAAACTTGGAAGCTTGATCGAAAGTCTTCGTTTTTCCCGAGGATGGATATATTGTTTACGATATGTTGCGATTAGATACGCGGCTCAGATGCGGCAGTCGGCAGTTTATCTCCACCAGACGCCCCAGCATCATCAGCAACAAAGGAACCAATCACTTTCCCGGGCGACAATACCGTCGAAAGTAACGGGTGTTCACGATAAAGGCGAGGAAAGTAGAGTAGCAACGTTGCCGGAGGCGGCGTCCTGCTCCGGGCTGAGGCGAGGACAGCGTGAACACGTTCATCATCAGCAGCAACAGCAACAACAGCAGCAGCAGCAGCAGCAGCAGCAGCAGCAGCAACAGCAGCAGCAACACGTGATTTCGTACCAGTCTCTGCAGAGGCATACCGAGTGAGTAATGCATTCGTCAGTTGCCCCCGTCACTTGTTTTATTATTTGATTTTGTTGTTAAACGAAACAAAAACAGACATTCTCATTGGTTACTCGATCGCGAGCATTACAATGGGAATTTCTCTCTGACTGTCGATAATCGGGAGTTTCATAAGCCCTATCGGTATATTTATAGTTTGGAACATTGCCAGCGCTGGGTTAGGCGCGGCTTTATTAGAATTCCAAGGACGTATCGATACCACGATAAAAGTATCGATGTCGTGCTCTCGGACTCTCGATGAGGGTTAACTGCAACGCTCATCGAACCGAAAGTTCAGTTTCCAAGGAATAGTATACGTGTATTCGGGAATCTTGATCCTACACGGAGACATTGGTCTTGAATCCTTGATAATATTAGGTTAGAAGGCACAGAATATCCGTTGAAAAGAATATTGTAAAGGCGCAACCTACTGTCCGTTCTAATGTGCATCGGTGTTGATGGACGCGAACTTCGTTAAGAGATCTAGACGGTTAACCTGTGAAAGATCAGATCGGAGATACAAGAGGTCTGGAATTTGTCCTGGTGGAGTAGAATGAACAGCAGCAGCGAAGCGAAGCTGAGAAGGTCCTTGCGGGAAAAGAGTTACGAGCCGAGCAGCCGGGAAATGTTGAGTCACGTCGAGGATGGAACGGTGCCACGACGAATTCCACGGGAGTACGACTCGTCGTCGATGGGGTGGGGCAGGCCGGCGAGTCACACGAGTCAGGGGACTCACGTGGCTCAAACGTGTCACGCTCCTCACGCCGGTGCCAGACGATGGAACGATCAGCAACAGTTCTGCAGGTCCGCATCCGCGAGGCTACCGAGGACGCGACATCCGGCAGCCCTCGATCCGGACGACGACGATTACGGCGAACGATCATCCGAGCAGGACTCGAGGGATGGTGAACGCAAGATTCAGCAGGTTAGTCCTTCTTTCCCTTTTTCCTTCTCTTTCTCTCTTTCTCTCTTTCTCTCTTTCTCTCTTCCTCTTTATATGTATGATTAATGGATTAACTTTACTGTTCTGCTTGACTTTGCCTAACCCATGGCAATTCTCGTTATGACGTTAAGCTCAATTGTGACATCTAAATTGCGTTCGTAAATTTCGTGGTTATACTAAACAAAAGCGTTCATTATTAGTCCAGACGCAGTGTTATGATAATAATCATTTATTTCCACTGGACAAAAACCCGTTAAATTACAGAAGCATTACACAAATGACAGACCTGTAAAACTATACATGCGTGAAGAATATATGTATCCGAGTAACTAGTTACAATTTGGTGCGTTCTAATTCCAAATGGAGTTTAGTTTTCAATACCATTTCATCTGGAGTAAAGAAGTCAACTTGGTTGCTATGTATAATTATTCGCTTGCGTACAAAATCTGTTTATTGAATTCTAACTGGTCGGGCAAGAATATTAAAATGCAACTACAGATTTTCTTCTTTTTCAGTCCTGATTCTTTGGAATTCACGTTATACTCGTGTGGTTTCTTTTGATCTCTCTGAAATACTACCTTGTTTAATATTGTAAAGATCATTTTTTTTCTCTGTATACTTCTCCAGTTACAAGCGGTAACATTCACTATTACTTTATCTACTTGATGTACGGTTGAAAAGGATGTTCGTTACACAGAAGGATCGTTGGGATGTCTTATTAAGTTAAGAAAGTTGTCTCGTTAAGTGAACGCTAATTGACGCGTGGACCGGGAAAGCATGGCACGGCTGTGTTAATTGAAATTAATAGATAGATAAACGGATGACGTAGATTTACCGACTCGTTTCCTAAAGTGATAATAATTCTAACGACGTACTGATATTATGTAATACAATTGGCATTTTAACAAATCGGATTATAATTTTTCGTTTGTGACTGTATCCCGGTAAAAAAATATGTATATTTTCAATTATTGTTGAGTCGATATTCTAGGTATATCGTGTACCCTCATCTCCGTATTCGTTAGTAAAATGTTTAGACTAGAAATCTTGGAATTTATCTGGATTCAAGCCAGTAGGACGTCGGAGGAGATCGCGTTACCACCTCACAGAGTCGGAAGGTTCAAAAGAGATGGCTCATAAATCACCCCTTCGTTTTCCTCCGCGTAATCCCGAACCGTGTCCGTTGGTTGATGGGCAGAACAATTCTTGGGTCGTGCAGCCGAAAGCGATGATTCACCGCGGGGTGCAACCTGCGCCGTGTATTGTCTACCTGTATTTCAGTCACGTCGACCGTTCCGTAATTCAGCTTTCACTACGATCCGTTCGATCGTTGTCATCGTCGCGGCGATGTTACTCGCGCTTTCCACGCTGTTCCTCGAAGATGAAACATCGCGCGTGGCTTCGCGGCTATACTTCCTTGTGTCTGTCGCCGCGCGTGCGTCGAATTCAAATATCGATCTTCCTGGAATCAGCTTTCGGTATTTAAAAAAATTGATCTCTTACCTTACACATTCACCGTTTCCTAAATAACTTCTTAGCTCGCCCAAGCTACTTCGTTGATTAATTTTTTTCTGAAGGATTTCATTCGTAGATGGAATTGAGAACGCTGAAAATATTGACTACACGGAATGTTAACCTCGTGTTAATGCTACACACTCTAGCCATTCTTTTCGAAATAACTCGAACCGTAATATGTAAATCGTTCGACGATACGAAAGCAGTTGCTCACTTTTTTCGAGTGACTAGAGAAATCCTATCGAAACAACCATTCAATCGGATCGACTGTTCAGCCATGAGGATGAGACATTTGAAAAAACTATTTCTTCTGGCCATCTGTAGTCTTTCCTTATTATAAGCAAGTTTCTCTGAAAGAAACGTGGCCGCTCGGTTATCCACTGTAATGGAAGAATCAGCGGTACAAAGGGTGTCTGACGTTTCAGCGAGAGGAGTCGATGAAACGACTGCTCGAATGGAAGCAGCGAATGCTGCAGTCGCCACTTACCCGGAAACCATCGGGCTCGGCAAACAGGGGCCGAGCGCAGAACGAGCTGTCGAGCTATTACAAGCAACAGGCGCTTCTCGAGCTGGCTGCCCACGAAGCCTCGGTCGCGGAAGGCCGTCATTCGAGGAGGCGAGAGGACAACAGTCATCGTCCGCACGTTCGAAGCAAGAGCACCGACGGCCGACGGACCGTCGCCAACGTTTCGCGATACAACAGCTACTCCAGCGACGACGAAGGTAGGGACACCTCGCCTGAACTTATTATCTGAGTTGTGGCTTCAACGGCCTTTCGTGGGACACTCACGCCTAGAAACTTCTCCAGCTGACAGACTTTAAAACTGACATGTATTTTCTTATACAAGCTCCATTGAGCTGGTTAACACGTTTATTATGCGGGAAATCGTTTTGCAATCATTCGTTCAGTTTTAAAAGTGCAGATTTGTAGAATTTTATTACATATTAATATTATCATTGTTCTCGCGAGTCTGAAATAACCTGTAGGCGGCAGAAGTTATTAATCGTTACGCAACAACGATGATTTTGAAATACTGTGCCTTCTACGAGACAAACGATTTCTCCTCGTACCTTAAAAAGTAACGAAGATATTACGGTGATCCAGGTAAACGAAACTGACTCGATGGAATTAGAACACGGGTCGATAAGTTAACGAGGGAGTCCCACGATCGTGCTGCGTCTGCGAGTTTGAGAACTCCAAGTAGATAGCTGGATAGCTGTACTAATGTATAACCGCTCTAACACGGTCAACGTACTCACGCGCGTTTCCTGCGAATAAAAAAGCCATGAAAACGCTTCTGTGTTATATGGTGTTGCACGTCGAGACTATCTCGTTGAGAACACGTTGTTACCAAAGACTCGGTACGCGAACGAACGTGACGCTGCCTTGCGCATGACACCGTACCAATCACACATAGATATACTATAATATTATACGTTCGAATAATTTCTAGGAATGAGTTTGAATAAAGTGCCTTTTTGTACGATTGGAATTCGAGAGTCAGATTAATTTGTGTGCATCGAAAACACCCATCCACTGTAACACCAGTGTGCTCATCAACTCCCTGGGACTAACACACGAACACAGGACACCAGACGAACGAAAGGAAAAGAAAACGTATTGGATATAGCGTGTATCGGCGCGACGAGTTCATGACCAAGATCGGGCGGATTTTATTACGACCTTTGACATTTCTCGATCTGCGCTCCACTCCTCTATTTACCTAGCTGTTTTTTCCTTCTTTCTATCGCCAATTCGTCCCTCGTCGAGGGACAGACCAAGTTTTGTAGATATCGAGGATCTTTCAGAAGGTGAAAGGAATATACCTATACAGTCGGGTCTGGGCTGAATGGTGAATGGGAACGATTAACACCTTTGGAATTTAACTGTCGAACCGTCCGTTACGACCTAACACTCGTGCTAGAGCCGTTTTACTTTGCGAAATGTGGGTCAGCATGGCATGCCCAGGATTATCACTAACACTATCGTAGAGGCGTTCAGCTGAGGCCGCCATTTACCTTCCAGCTCGTGTAATACGTGTCTCCACTACAAAGTAATTGAGTGCGCGGTAGATCGACGTCTCGATCGTTGCGGGATCGACCAGATGTTCATCGAAAGAGCACTGCAACTTATTTTGCAGAGATTCGAGATTTTTGAAACTATAATAAGTAGTATATAATATTACAAAGTGGGCGTCAACGTCGTAACAAATAAGTTCACTTTCATTTCTCGAATCTCCACAGTCGTTCTCGCAACGATCGGGCTCGATCTCAGCTTGGTACACTTGGCTTGGATTGTATTGGAAGGGTTGGATTGTGATTAATCTCACTCGTGAGTAACGAACGTCCTCGTGTGTTTGTTTTGTAACGGACGAATCAGAGCTGGGAGATGTCCGGAGGAAGCGCACGCGCAGACCTTCGCATGCAGGAAGGAGCCCCCGGCAGGTCGGAGACAATCGTTCATCGGGAATTCCGGTCCAAGATGCCGTCTCCGGATCCGGCTACCAGAATCAGATAGCTCCTCGAGCCTCGAATGACCAGAAATCGAGCACCACCGCTTGCTTGCTGCCCAATGTGGGCGGAATACCCCCCGATGCCGGCTACGAGGAAGTCAGCTTCCCCTCTACGCAGAAGACCGAACGTTCCCCGCCATACCTTGCCGTGGAACAGAGGACCATTGTTAGGAACGATCAGGAACTAGAAGGTTCGTTCGACGAGGACAGGTTCAAGAAAAAATCATCGGGAATACTGAAGAGCTCTACCGCCTATTCCGTTGATCAGACTCCGAAGAACATGACTACGTCCGCGGGATACGCGACCGATACCTGGCCCTCTCAAAAGACCGTTCAGTGGACAACCAAGAAGGAGAAAGACGACTGGGACACCAACATTGACGAGAGTAAAGTTATCAAAGAATTCTCGTATCAGTACATCAGACCTAAGGAGGAATTAGAGCCGAAGGAAGAGTCTCCGGACAGACTGGAAGCCATGAATTTGGTACAGTGTAGAATAAGATGCTTCGAACTGAGCATGGACAGTTCCACTCCGGTGAAGGAGGTTCTCGCGATGCAGGAACCATTGAAGGTGTCGCCCCTTCAAGCGACCGAGGCTCACGTCTCCCGGCTAGATTCTACGAAGAAACCCTCGCCTATTCGTAATTTCGCCTTAGGCGAATCTGATACTCTAGACTCCAAGTACAGAAACGTGAAAGATGGTCACGCCAAACAGGCGTCCACCGACAGTAACAAGTCGGTGAAAGACTTGTTGGCAGATTTCGAGAGAAAGTCCCAGCAAGTTCAGAGGCAAGAGTACATCAGGCGTCAAGAGGTGAAGCATCGTGGAGTATTCAGCGATTCGGAGGCCCTGTTATACGACACTGGCAGCGATCTGGACCAAAGAGATAAAAGCGAGGACGCTCAGGATGAAAGGAGTTACAAGGTGGATCAAGTTGTACCTGATGCTATCAACGAGGACAGGATTTATGCCGGCACGGTGAAGAAGAAAGGAGACGTTTCATTCAGGCGGAGGAAAAGATCGTCTTCCAGGGAGAGCATTAACGATCAAGCTATTCCTCCCGAAGATTTGGATATATTATCGAATCCCAGTTGCAATAGGCTAAGCGTTGCGGAATCCTTGTTAACTCATGGGGATCGGTATTCCGGGGAAAGTGGAACGACGAGTCCCACGTTGAAGCCAGAGGATATCTGTCCGGAGGAACACTACCTTCCAATGTCCCCTAGGAAAGCGATATTGGATCCCAACTGTGACGACCGACCGAATCCAAAGATGATGGAGTGCCTGTTCGCCAACTTGGACCACGAAGAAAGTTCGTACGTGGAGATGGCTCAGAACGGTATGTCTCACTCTCTTCTGGCGCCCAACGAGGAAAATAGGAAACTCGATTCCGGGGATTATTCCACCTTGGACACGCCTCACTACGAATTCGTCTGCGTGTCGGACAGTAAAATGGAACCAGTTTACATGGAAGTCAGTCAGCTATCGGAAAAGGAGGAAAACGACGAGAGGACGATGTCCCTGAAGAAAAGAACTTCTCACGACGATTCCGGTCACTCGAGATCAGACCTTCCCGACATATTGGCCGCCCTAAAGTCGGATAGTTCCGACGCGGATGACGAATCTTCGAAGGACCTAGATTCTATCGACGCTCCTAGACATCCTCGATTCAGCCTGTCGGACACCTTCAGGCCTGCCTCGTACTATCTGGGTGCCAGTCGAACCATGATCGCCGAATTACACGACTCCTCTGACAGCGAATTGGTGTCCCCTCCTCCGATTCCAACCACTCCTCCGCCCTTGGACGATTTGGACTCGCTGGACATGCAAGAATCGTTGGAGATGAAAAAAGTGTCACCTCAAGTAGCAGTGACGAAGGACAACAGCTCGAACAGAGACTCTCCAAAGTCATGGAACAAGCCAATGGGCCAAGTAGAGACCCACAGGAGCCCGTCCAGATTTTCAGACGCTACGATCAGTTCTACTTTTCGCGATAGTCGGATTTCATTGGAAAGCGCGTCGGGAAGCGACTCGGTCGATCTGAGAATAATGGAAGAGGAAGCTAGACACAGGCAGCTGAAGACGAGACCCGTTAGCGAAGTTTGCGATGTCCTGGACAGTTTAGACGAATTAGAATCTCTCGGCAGTCGTTTTGACGGCGCGAGCATCGATTTAGATCAATACCTAGAGGAACTACAGGCTCGCGACGCTTTTAACGTGGACATGTACGCAAAAGATCTCAGTTACAATAGCATTTACGGTTTTAACGAGAACATGATGGTTGTGGATAAGCTTCAGAAAACCACATGCCACGATCTTTCCAGGCAAGTAAACCTGGGTTTGCGTGGTCTCGAACAATCTCTTCGTTACGATGCGAATAAGATGGGGTCCGCGAGTAGCTTACCTTCGATGAGAGTATGCGATGTTCCTCCTTCTCATCAGCACTCGCAATCCTTCACCGGCAATGCACACTACGAGAACATAACGAGCTTCTCGCCGTTGAGATGCTCGCCGGCAGTCCGATCGGACAACGAGCAAATTCGGGAGGCTCATAGGCTTCACAGATGTTCTCAGAACAATTTGTTATCCGCCTCCCATAGCAGAGATTCCAGTTATTCCATGGCGTCCGGCGTGGCCTCGATTTCCACCTCCATGGCCTGCCAAAGGCCTGCCAGCGCGCAGTCGTCGATGCACTCCCCTACGGGATCGATTTCATTGGGAAATCACGGGGTTAATTTGTCCGCGAACGTCCTGCGAACCGCAAGTCCCTACACCGACCAACGGTTCCACAGCCATTCTAGATCGGCCAGTCAGGATTCAGCTCGGTACTCGATGATATCCAACCACAGGTCGTCATCGAGCCAAGATTCGAGTCACTATCCTACTTCGACGTCCACGGTGAAAACAAATGCTGGTTCCCAGTCGTATCTGCCGAACGAAACACGTCCGCAAAGCGAACAATCCGGTGCACCGTATTACTACTCGGACCTTCAGGCGAGCGCGAACGCAATGGACACCGAATCGACGAAGCCAATCGGTCACACCTCCAGATTACCTCAACTGAACAATCAAAGGGACGACGCTTCCGCGTTGAACAAGAGGAACGACATCGGTCGCATCGTGAATCCAATCGCGAGACAAATGCCCAGGCAGATTCAGGTGGACGACATCGACGAAGCTAGACGTATAGCGGCCGAATTGAGGAAAACGACGTGTCAGCTGTTGGGCGATAACAAAGTCGGGCTTGTCGATAAGAAAAACTTCTACGAGGCGGACACTCTGAGAAGAGTGAAATCAACGGACCCCTTGCCAGATATTTCCTCCGCGGAGATCAATACCAGAAATCTCTATCCGCACGGGCTAAGAGACAAATCGAACGACGATCAAAACTGCCGGGAGGATTTGGAGTTAACGCACTTGGTCCAAACTTCGCACCGCAGATCAAGATCTCTGGAAGGCCTCTTGGACGACGTTGGTTTGCAGAGTCTGGTGGATCAAAGGAACAGGAGCAATCGGATAGCGACAGTTCAGCCCACGCAAGTAATGGAAACGTCTGAAAATTTGAGTGCCGGTAACGTCGCGGCTACGTCGGGTATCAACTTCAGCGCGGAAGACCCCTGGGAACAGGATTCTCTGTGGCGGGAGAGCCTTCGGCGTGTCAGCTTGAGGAACGCCAGGTCCTTGGACAATCTGGACAGTCCACCGAGGCCGATCGTGTCGTCCTCGGTGGACAGCAAAGGCCGGAACAAAATCACTCGTGGCGCGACATACGTGAACGACAGCGTGATCTTGAGACGGGAGAACTGCTTCGAGGATTCCTCGGAACGACCGCGCGTGAAACGAAGACCGAACAAGGACCAGGATGATTCGACGGTCGACGATTTAACCTACGAAAGTCTATCGATGGAACGGCTTCACGCCGGTGGCTATGTCTGGGACGCCCAGAACGAGGCGTACAGAAAACCAACGGCCGAGGACACGAATCATTTTTTAGAGGAGGGCAACCTTCCCCCGGTTCGCTTGATCTCGGAGGCGTCGACGTCGCCGCAGATGTCGGTCACGACGTCCGCCGCGGCGTTCGAGCTCGACCGAGAGAAACTACGTCAGTGGGACCTGTTGTCGAGCGCCTGCTTGCTCCAGGAACAGCAGCGCAGCTCGATGGCGGACTCGGGACGAGGGTTGCCAACTGCAGAACGACCTGGAGACGTTCCCGATCCACGGAACAGCACTCGCGCGACGACTGGCATCGGCATCGTCGCGACGACCATCGCCACGACCTCGAGCGTGTCATCGTCGGTGGTCAGCGAAGATCGGGATCTCGTGTTAAAATTTATCGACACGGGACTGCAGGAACCGAGCGGCACGAGCACGTCGATCGGCGCGATCACAGAGGCGATCAAGAGGCAGCAGGAGCTGAACGAGACCAAGGAGGCTTGTAACAGGGCTACAGGTGAGTGGCTCCTCAAGACCGGTGGTGTGTTCAGGAACTGACTGGCCGTGTTCCAATACCCGTCGACTGGCCGACTCGGACTCGATGGAGTCACTCTCTAGCACTACCAAATGTACCTGCGTTTAACGGTGGCGTTTAGCCACACGCGAGCGCTGTATTCTTTTGGAATCCGGTTCAGCCGATCCCGACCCGATCCCGACCCGATCCCGTTCCGATCCGTAGCTCACCGGACTAACGGCATTGCACTAGTACTCGCTGGAAAGAATATAACAAGGTTTAGTTCGCATAATCTGCCAAACGTGTGTCTTTCGTAGCTCGTTTAACCAACGAACTAGCGCATACCGTATCTTAATCCCCCTTGGTGTAATTTGATCCAGAACACGTACTATATTTCTTCCATCGAGCATACTATGCTTCATTGGGTCGTGTAATGGAATTTCCGTGATTAAGTAAAAACGAATAATAACAATTGTGTGTATAAAAATCAAACTTTCGGGGTCGGTTGGATAATTCGAATGAAACGAGCAGTAAGGTCACGCGTACAAGACATCAGTTCCGTACAAACGAACTTTTCTCGCTTGCTTCGGACTCGTTCAATGCGTTATTCCAGAAGAATACAGTTGTAGATTCCTAGTTGTTACAACAGACCGCGTTCCAACTTGCATTCGACTATCGTTTTTTTCTCGTTTCGGGAGACAAGTCGCGTCGTGCTTTGCTCCTGCATTTATTTCGTAAGTAGTTCAAGAGCGATCGGTCTTCTGCATTCTTGATCACCGGTTTCGCAAAAGTAGCTTCTCCTAAGTATCGTTCGAACGGCGTTCACGTAATTTGTTGCGAGTTGGAACACGGCCTGACAGATGACGAGTGATTGCGTGAGCTGATATGTGTGTGATTGACTCTCGTTAGAGACTATTGTGAGAATGAAACTTCGTGAATTCACCGAACGAACAGTGTAGCTCTGTGAATTAGAGATTATATGTAATGCTCGATCGATCAATTTCGTTGTACGTTAGTTATTAATTGCATTCGAGTAGAACAGTGCTGTCTACGAGACTTCCTGCCTGATCGCTTCCTTCGCTGCGCATTCGACGGGGACCAAGCGAAGAAAGATAAGTTAATGTTTAGAACTTCGAAATACTAGGCAACACCAAACTTGAACGATCCCCGATGAACCGGCTTTTGAAGCTTTTGCTGTCACTGGTGCATTAACGTCTCTAGAATAACAAGCTAATCTTTGCACGAAACGTCGAAAACACATTTCACTCGTCTCTGTTTTTCCTAGCGTGAAACAAGCTGCCACGTCTTAACGGTATCCATAATATTTATTACGAAAGTGTTCAGCGACAGCGAAAGTGTCAAGCGGGCTATCATCTACGACTCAACGTGCCTATTCTTTCATGTTAGACAAACGACTTAACGAATAAGTTTGCAGGGTATAAGAGTAGGGATTAATTTTGATTTCGGTTATAATTATCGATTTCGGTATCGCAGTTTCACCATTTTACGCTCCCAATTTTAAGCGTTTCAAGTGTGTATATACGTATCAATAATCAATACTTTTTCATTAAATATTCACTGATATTCTAGCACGTAAGCGTGACTGAGAGGGAGAGAGAGGTATAAGTGTTGTTTTTTTTTTTAGAGTTGTTTCTGACATTTTGTACATCTTTGCGCTTTCGATCTTTGAACACAACACCGATCACGTTCGACGATTCACCAAATAAAAATTGCGTCAAACGTTCCCGCGACGTTTTCACGGTGGGAAACCTCAAATTTCTCCGACTAACGGGAACGATATACAATCTCCGGGTAACCCGAAAAGTCCAGCAAGATCGCGATAATTCTCAATCGTGGCCTCCGATAAGTCGAAATTTATTCGCAGTTAACTCGATATCCCGGTTATCTTGGCCTCGATATGGCTTAAAATTTTCATGTGACGCGAGATCGGCGGGGAATTTTTGTTCGGATCGGGAGGCGAGTCGAGATCACGGCTGACAGCTGTCAATAAAAGTTGAAAAAACAGAAACGACTGATATTACAGTTTCCTGGGACACCGTCCATGCGAGATTGTTACAGGGATCGCGTGGAAGAAGAAATCCAGCGTACCGGAATTCCCGTGAGTAATTTCATCTTAATTTAAGGGCGAATCGAGTTTCCGATACGAAGAAAGATACTGTTTGACTAAGCGTCTAGGCAGTCTGCCAGGATTCGCGATCGCGAACGTTGGAATTCGGCGACTCCTCTGTGGATGTACATATGTATGTACTGCGATTTAATCCTCGCGCTGATCAATTGCCTGGAATCTATCCAGCGTGCAGACTCCATCGTAACATATAAAACACTCGAATGTTCCCTTTGATCACGAGCGTCGCATGGGTAACAGGAATTCTACAGAGCAACCTAATTCGATCAAACTTACAAGCGTGGCGTTCACCTGGAAACTGACAAAAAAAATTCTAATCGTTGCAGATCTGCGATGTTTTTGCCTTGGATAAATACATAAAAACCTTTATATATAAACTTTAAATATAAAAATCTTTAAATCTGTAACCCGCGTTATCAGTAATTTCAGTAGCTCGAGGGCAACGTACCATTCCAAGCGGAGCCAATCTAAATCTCTGACGGACTTTATTACGTTCCGTAGATATATTACGTCGGGAAGCCATAAACGGTTAAACTTCGGAGATTTAAAACAAACAGCGGAGAAGCAGCTCTGCGTGGAGCGCGAAGGAGTTTGGATAACGGTCGTTCGTTGACCAATCGAGAGGACCTCAGGCAGCGTCCTCACTCCCGGCGACTTCTTAATAAGTGCGTTCACCTTCGGCGGACACACTCGAAAACGCGGCGATCAAAGTGGCAACACGGCTGCATTCTCGGTCGAAGAGTCGAGAAAAACGAAGACTCGGGCGAGAAAGGAGTCCGTTGACCGGGATCGAAAACGAGTTCGAGACCGGGGAGAAGGTCGCGCGAAAGGAGAAGAATAAATGAAAAAAGAAACAGTAAAGGTGGAAACGAATCGCGCCGGAGAATCCGTACGACGATGGTCTGCGTCAGCGCGCGGATAATCCGCATAAATTCTATTAAATCCGTCGCGACGCTACGCGCCGAGCACAAAATAATCGGTCGGATCCCGACGTGGCTATGCGCTCACGGCCAAACGACCGGCCTAGAAATCGTTTCGACACGACCTCCCGCGATCGTTGCACACGTCCAGAGATTAAACGGTGAGTGATTGTGCGAGGGTTGCGGCGGGGCACTGGTATCGCTTGTCGATGGGAAATTTTCCTTTGGAACGCGCGTGCGATGAATTTTCCAAGTCAAGACTCGGTTGTTGCACGAGGAATACAGAGGTAAAAATATTTTTACAATGTTATTCAAACGTTTGGCGCGCTTTCCTATATAGAGAAGATGCAAATCAATAAAATTATATTTTATTTGTTAATGGATTCAACAGATTAACCCTCGGACGACGATGATTGTTATTTTGACCTGAGTTTCCAACAACTTTGTCCAGCTCAACAGCTTTCGATAACTAATTTAAATTAGTAATTGTTTATATCAATTCAAATAAAAAGAAATTCGATTCACAAAGAAATTTCTTGAAAAATGTATTTAAAAGGAATAATAACGCCATTAAAACCGTTCGCCTTTCGAGGGTTAAATTATGAATATGTTAAATTCAAGTAATCTTTGAATTTTATTGCTTTTCGTATTCGTATAGGTATGTTCCAGTTGCTACTTACAAACTTGTGCCTTGCGAAATGGAAATTTTCTTTCATCTCCACGAATTTCACTTGGAATAATCATCGAAACAATTGTGTCACGCGGTAGATCATCTCGCTCGTTATTCGCGCCTCACAACATTCTGTCCGTTCTCTCGACCAAGCGCGATTGCAAGGATACTTAGGTTGCTAGATAATATCGTAACCAGATAGCCGTACTACAGCAGGCCAAGATGAGACCTTTTGAAATCGTGTTCGAGATCTATGCGCACCTGCTGGCATTTCTTCGATGGCCGCAATGGCGACCACGGGGCCATAAACGCGGTTGCTCGTAACGCGCTAAACGCGTTGCATAGTCGTTGTACGTTGCACTTTGTCGTGGGTTCAACAACACGGACAATCGATGGACAGCACGCGTGGCAGTTTCGTATCTACAGTGTAGTTTCTTCCCGTGCGTAAAACCAACCACAATGGCCATAGGTCAGGCACAAAGGAATACGTAATTAATATTGCAATTGATCTTCCAATCCCGTGAACGTTATTATATCTATCCGCAGATTCGATGAAATTAACAGCTTCTCTGGACTTCCTCATTTTACGTTCTAAAGGATCTACTTTATAAAATTTTCATTTTAATGTGATTCTTTAAAAGCAAATTGAATGTATTTGTTGTCAGGCATTCATAGATGCAGTGGTAGATAACAATCGGAAGTGAAGGTTCCACTTAGATTTACGATATTTGGGAGGTCTCTGGGGTTCTGCCCCATCCTTTACTCTCATCAAGAGGCAAGGGTGCAAGTGCACTCTCATCAGGTAGCAAGTGCACCAAAGGATCCTAATTAACGAAGGACATCCATTAGCTTTGGGATCCGTTAGTTAGGGTCTCTATATAAGCCCGTTCCTTGGTCCCGAGGACGAGTTTACGGTGTGTCAATCAGCATCGAACAGGTAGAGCTAAATTTACAGAAACCCTCGAGCGGAACTTTGTCGAACCCACACAAACTGTGCATATAGGAGATAGACTAACTACTATACATAAATATGTGTGTCTTTTTATGTAAAGTCGATACTGCCCGTCGAGTAATTTTAACGAATATGTTGGCACTGTCAATAGTAACTATGATTATTCGCTCATCTTTGAGCAAGCTTCACGTTCGGTCGACTCGAACTGCAAAAAGAGCAAATTCTCTGTATAATTCAATTAGACTGGAGAGACCGTATCAGAGATCGATACCTCGATTCCTTCGGCCATCTTGAAATATCGATGGAAGGCTCAGG